TCCGGTCGCAGTGAAGTCTCACCAGATAACCGGTGGGGAGTGATCATTTCTACGGTGGGTCACAACTGCAAAATTCTGACAGAACCATGCGCTTTGTGGGGCCATTCCGGCACAGGATGTTGTCTGCGGGGGGAGCTGTTCAGATGGCATTCAGAATTGGTGCGACGGAAGCCTGAACAGAGAATGCAGGCGAGAATATTGATACAGCAGCAACTTGAATAGAGTGTACCCACTATAAAGGGGATCACAGCAAAGAGATTATCATTTGCTTGCAATAGATAGACATTGGAAAGCCATCGATAAGGTACCCACTGAACTGGGTGAGCCTGTCCTCTCATGCGCAATGTGGGACCATTCGGGGACAGGCCGCTGTTCACAAGGGGAGCAGATTTCTGCACAGATGCATTTAGAACATCTGCGGCGGAGGCCTAGATGGAGAATACAGGCAAGAATATTAATACAGCAGTAGCATGAATAGGGTGCATTGACTACTAAGCATGTACGCGCCCAGTATTATGCACAGTATGATCCAAGGCCGTAGCTTATGCAGGGCCGTGGCACGGATCACGCCCTACATGCTACGCCGTTCAAGTCAAACGAAATACGCACCATGAGAGCAAAAATAACCGGAAGATTCATCATCGGTCCAGGAGCTCACAGCCTCTCCGAGGGAAGCCCAGCCGGCGGCCAGGCGCGGCGGAAACCACTTGTTTAACCGCTGCCTGTCTTCTATAGTGTCAACAAATACTTATCGTGCGCAATGCTCACATATACGGTTCAGACACACCGTCTGCGCGGCTATATGCGCACCATTCGCCAATGGACCGCCACTCCTGCAGAACGCCGCGTGTCCAGCGCCAACACAGTGACGAGAATAGCCATTCCAAACTTGTACTTTCCAGAAGGATATGAAGACAATATCATTTCTTCTTCTGCGCAGTGTGATGAGATTGCAGGGCCTGGAGGCGGCAACCCTAGGACGCCCATAAGGCATGTCCGTCACCTGAGCAGAGAGCGGGCCTCATTGCCCTGCACGGCGTACGGCGTATGGCGCATCAGCATATGCAGTAGGAGCGGGCTATAACTAGACGTCAATATGCTAAGGTGTAAGCAGCGCGCGCGAGAACTCACTTTGAACATCTTGTCACACAGGCTCCTGGGTGATCTCGAGGGCTGAACTTGGCAGGCACGAGTCGAACGTGGTTATGGACGAGTGTTGAGCTTGGCTCGAGCAAGGAGTCTTTTGCCTAGGAGGGGGCCGGCTTTCTTGTGAACTTTTACCCCGCCGGTGATCGGACTATCTCTGGATCGTGTAAGTCTCGACGCGGGCCGCTTTTGCAAGTTCTTACTCAGCGCTGAACTCTCAGCTTATTTATGCGTCATATTTTGGTAGGGGAGACCGCCAGAAAGTCATAGTGGATCTACAACAACCGGGTCCAAAAGCTCGGTGATTGGAATTTTGAGGTGGTGGGCACTGAGATGAATGAGTTGGCCGCAGAGGCGCTGGCATCACGCTTGTCACGTTCATGTGATACCGTGACAGTCAGACGCGTTCGCGTCTGAGCGCCTGTCTACTTCAAGTCGACTTTGAGTTGGTCGCGAAGTCGAAGTCGAAGTCGAAGGGCGGGTAAGCACGTTTTCTTTGCTAACTATGCGTTTCATTTCATTGTATCTTCAATAGATATTCTAATTGAGCATACCGAAACACACTAGGAGCCATATTTTTATAAGAAGAAACACAACATCAAGCCTAGTCATTTCAATTAGAGCAATCTAGTGGCAATGAGAGGACTTACGTTGTCGCAGTCGTCGCGTGGATCCTCGCCGGTGTCAGTGGTGACAATAGGAACAACCGGAGAATCCCCGCCCGCGTCAAGTCCTCCTGCCGCAGAGGGCGATACAGAGCCGGAGGTGCGTAAGAAATTTGTTTGCCACAACGCGCTTATTCACGCGTCGTTCCGCACAAAGGACCAGATACAGGGCCAGGAGGACGAATCAGTTGACGAAGTGAGAGGATCTGTTAACCGACTGTAGTCAGCGCTGATTATCGACACGCCAGGACACCGAGGCGCGCGTGCGCATGCTCTCTAGCCTCCTCGAGAAGTCCGCCGCCTATGTCTCCATACTCAAGCAGCAGATGGACAGGGTGCGTGTGACTCGCGTACAGCGTCAACGCCGCGCGTCCAACGCTACCACGACCGCCGAGGCCCTGCACTCCGGCAAGGGCCGTACACACAACACGAAGAAACGGACGCGCGAAGATGTGGAGGATGAGCAAGCCGTCAAGCGTATGAAGGTTAGGGAGGACGATGCTGCACGAGAGCAATCGCCAGCAGAGACAGAGCAAGGATTCGAGCAGTCAGTTCTGATAACTGGCGCAACGCTCAAGGACTTCCAGCTGGAGGGCGTCGCATGGATGGCTGGGCTGTACCAGAGCGGAATCTCCGGTATCCTCGGTGCGTCC